AATCTTTTCATGCAACAATTTTCATTAATATCTTATTTAAACAATAAAATACTTTCTTTTGTTTGTTATTACTGGAATTAACGGAAGCAGCTGTTGCAGAAAAAATACATAACCCGCGTAAGCGGGTTATATATTAATTCCAGTAATAACAAACAAAAAAAGACATTTTATTGTTTATATTTATATTTGTTTCAATAATCATTCAAAATATGATTAATAAGATTAATTATTGTATTAATGATGCGAACGTCTTTATACGTTTCATTGATGGAACAGCCACTGATCAAGAAATCTGTACAGGCGACATGCCTAATGTAGCTCATGCAGTGATTAACGCAATGGGTTTTCCTAAGAAATAAAGGAGAAAATATTCAGTGGATGTAAATATATGCCTCTCAATGTGCTTCAAGGTTCTTTGCAAAGCTCCATAAATCACTTCTAATTTCATATCATGTTAATAAACATTGGAATCTAAAAATGCTTTTTCGGGGTAAAAATTTCTACTTTTAATTAGACCTTTCTGAGAAGCTCAAAGAACCTTGAAGCACATTGAGAGGCATATAATGAAAATTGTTGCATGAAAAGAATTAAATTATAAATTAAAGAGTTGTCCTTTCTGGCTGAGGGTCGGAGTCCCTTAAGTTTAGAAAATATCCTTTTATGGATCGGATACTTTAGAGAAGGGGTGGCCACAAACATCAGAGGGACAGGGCCCAGTCAATTCTTTCTAGGAAAAGTCTTCTTTTGATTATTAGTTTATTATAGATAAATTAGTATTCAACTTCCTCATCAACAACAGTTCTAGCTCATGAAGCCCTGTCACCTTATAGTAATAAAAACATTTTCTACCGGATATATCACACACAACAATAGGTTATATTTGGTAACAAGCTCAATCTAACCCCCTCACAATATCAGAACTTTATTTCATTTTGTTATCCATGATGTTGAAAAAAATACATAGTTCTTTTATTTCCTTGTATGTGTAAACACACAAGGGACAACAAAATGCTAAATAGATTATTTCTGGCCTCTCCGTATTCATGGTGTTTTATAGCATTTTATTGTTTCAGTTGTCAACTTTAAATTTAAATTATAACCTTCAAGTTATGTTAAAATGTGGTGAGATATGACTACAAATTAAGATTTAACACCGTGTGCATTTCATTATGGAGTAGGTGAATGGAACATCGTTTGCTCGATTTCTTTTTTTACTTTGCTTGAGGAAATCTTACAACTGAGAGAAAACAACCCATTAGTAAAATTATCAAAGCAGAAAATCACAAGTACACGTGGTTACTTACAAAAGATCAACAGCCCGAATTAAAATTAAAAAAAATTAAGAAATATTTTTACCGTTCGAAATTTAGTGTCGTATCTCTAATATTGGTTTTCCAAGGTTAAATACAGATTAATTATAAGAGCTATATAAATGTATATTATTTTTATCATTCATTCCAAGCTCTCTGATTGGCTTAACCTTGATCATATGATTAAGTATATAACAGCATAAAGACTTGAGTTACTATTTATAGAATCTGAAATGTCTTAAAATGGAGAGAATTTTCTATAAAACAAAAATAGCACAGATTTCACAATTATAGCTAATACTGAATATGACTAAATGTTTCTTAAAAAAATATTTACTTCAATTTGTATTAATATTTTTTCATGTTCTGTAATTGATGAGATGTAACAATGCCTTGAAGCCTTGAATTCGGATCTACTTTATATTAATTGATACAAAACATAATCAAGTAAATTGAGCATTTTGAGTAAGTAAATCCTCTAAATTACTCCATCAGTATAAAGCAAACACATTAACATTAAACAGCAGAATTTATTTTTTATTTCTAGTCTCTAAGTGTTAAAGACAGAAAACATGTGCCTCATTCCCATTATTTTCACATTTTGTTTTGTCAATCTATGTAAAAAATAATATAACAAATGTAGCCCTTTAATTCAGTCAATCCATGAAACAATTTAGATGCAGTACTGGAAGATATATCGACTTCACAGAAAAGCGTATCGACCTCGCACTTCGTGCTCGGTCGATATGCTTTTCTGTGAAGTCGATATATCTATGGATTGACCTCATCAAAGGGCTATATTTATATAATATAGTATAAGTATACGCAATATGATTTGAAATTTTAGGAGACACGATAATATTTTTTTTAAACTTGCTCTAAATGATAATGAGAGTTACTTGTATATCATTTAAATTTTCACTTAAATGACAACAATGTGTAACGTTATTACGAATCATCTATCTGCCAAACCTTGACATCTTTCCACTTTCTAACATGCTTGTGTAACAATATCTTCTATAAACCATGTGCGTTTCCCTATATCCACAAATACTGAGCCCACTTAAGGAACAGGAAACAAACATCACTTTTCTTAAAACATGATAAAATCGGAAGCTTTGCACACAAAATCGCTGATCATGTCTTATTTGAAAGGGCTATTTCCCCGCTGATCACAATGTTCGATAATATGCATGTGTTGTGACATTTGACCTTAACGTATTGCACATGAGTAATTTTAGTGTGAAATGAAAAACAACAGTTTCTTATCAGAGCATCTTAAAAGCTGCATGGTAAAAAGTGTTCTTAACACAATTACACTTCATTGCATTTTCTGAAATGAATGCATACATATCACCAGAAGTCTCTGTCGAGACTGTAGCTCTACTGGTTTATACTTATAACAACAACAGCAATAAATAGAATAATGATCCTTGATTAAGTCACTTTTTGTGGCAATATTGCAATAAGACTACAACTGTAGGAGTAGCTTTTAATAAAATTTTAAAGAATTTTCAATTTTAGTTACCATGGCAACATCATTCATCAAAATAAATTTTAAAAAAAGCAATAGAGACAATAATGTATCTAAGTGTAGTCTTTCTGCATGCCACATTATATCATAATATTTACATTGCCAATGTCTTTGTACGAGATAAAATTACAAATTGTAAATGTACTTTATTTCCCCATCAATGTATTGGCGCGGTTCCAAAAGAACCACGTGCAGGGCGGGACAAACAGCTAGTCAGAAGCAGGGCTTGGAGCACGTGGATTGGCGGAATCAAAGCATGTAAATATACGGAATAACTGTCTTATTTTTCAATTTCATGACGCTGATCAATCGATTGGCTTGCGTGATAATTTTATGCATAAACGCCTTCGGCGTTTATGAAAATTATCACGCAAGCCAATCGATTGATCACTTCATGAAATCGAAAAATAAGACAGTTATTCCTTAAATAAAACTAAAACTGTATTTGTAATAGCATTTTTAAATTTTACAGAAATTTCTATTTTTAGTTACCAAGGCAACACCGTTCATCGAAATCAAAAAACCGATGCATAGAATTATGTATCTTAAAATAGTCTACCTATGTGCCAAGTTATATTGAAATCAGACCAACCAGAAGTCTCTGTCGAGACTGTAGCTCTACTGGTTTGTACTTATCAAAAACCATTGCACAATTTTATGTATCTTTGTGTAGTCTTCTTGTGTGACAACTTATTTTGAAATCAGACCAAAACTGTAGAAGGAGTAGCGTTTTTAAGGAATTTCACAGAAAATTCTATTTTTAGTAACCATAGCAACACCGTTCACCGAAATCAAAAACCGATGAACTATTCTATGTATCTTAGTGTAGTCTACTTGTGTGCCAAGTTATATTGAAATCAGACCAAAACTGTAGAAGGAGTAGCGTTTTTAAGGAATTTCACAGAAAATTCTATTTTTAGTAACCACGGCAACACCGTTCACCGAAATCAAAAACCGATGCACTATTCTATGTATCTTAGTGTAGTCTACTTGTGTGCCAAGTTATATTGAAATCAGACCAAAACTGTAGAAGGAGTAGCGTTTTTAAGGAATTTCACAGAAAATTCTATTTTTAGTAACCATGGCAACACCGTTCACCGAAATCAAAAACCGATGCACTATTCTATGTATCTTAGTGTAGTCTACTTGTGTGCCAAGTTATATTGAAATCAGACCAAAACTGTAGAAGGAGTAGCGTTTTTAAGGAATTTCACAGAAAATTCTATTTTTAGTAACCATGGCAACACCGTTCATCGAAATTAAAAACCGATGCACTATTCTATGTATCTTATTGTAGTCTACTTGTGTGCCAAGTAATATTGAAATCAGACTAAAATTGTAGGAGGAGTAGCGTTTTGAAAAATTGTTTACAGACAGACGGACAGACAGACAGCTCGACAGACGGACGGACGCCGGACGCATTACTATCGCATAAGCTCTTCTGGTCTCTGACCAGTAGAGCTAAAAATAGGAGTAGTAGCATTTTGAAAGCATTTCACAGAAAATTCTATTTTTAGTAACCACGGCCACACTGTTTATTGAAATCAAAAACTGATGCACAAAATTATGTATCTTAGTATGGTCTACTTGTGTGCCAAGTTATATTGAAATCACACTGTAGGAGGAGTACCATTTTGAAAAATTGTTTACAGACAGACAGACAGACAGACGGACGGACGACGGACGCATTATTATCGCATAAGCTCTTCTGGTCTCTGACCAGTAGAGCTAAAAATGCTGTCTTTGTTATTTAACTTTCCTTGTGTACTTGTGAAATGATAGCTACTGACTACTTCAACGTTTTATTTATTTAAATATAGAATTTAAATACACTAAGATACATTTCCTTACCAGATCTCAATTTTATTAATATGCCTGCATTGATCCTTGTGAGAGCCTGTCAATCAAAGCCTGCATTGGTTCTTAAAAGAGTCATCCAATGTCTGCATTAGACTTTGAGATAGTCGAACAACGCCTGCATTGGCCCTTGAGACAGCCTTGCAATGCCTGTATTGACCACTGAGAGAGAGAGAGAGATTGAGAGATTCACAATATCTGTATTAGCCCCTTTGATAGTCGTGCAACCTGCATTTGCATTTGATAGAGTCTGGCAATGCCTGCATTGGCTATAGAGAGAGAGAAGAGAGTCCAAATACCTGCATTGGCCTTTTGATAGTCGTGCAATGCTTGCTTTGGCCAACAACCCAGTGACGTAGCATCGTTCTTGGAAGGGGGCAGAGGACTTTTTTTTTGCTTACCTAAAAAAAGTTGACAAGCAAAAAAGGTAAATTCCTCAAAAACGAAAATCCTATTTCGTAAAGGGTAGGGGGGAGGGAGATTCCGACTTCTTTCAGAGAGCACCAAATTTTAGTAATACAATAATACATTACCCTTATTTCCACTAACTGTATCAGAAAGTGTGGGGGCCGCGTGACCTTTAATTTCCAATAGTAAATGGTGATGTTTGAAAAAAATGGGCCGCCCCCCCCCAACCCCCTCCGCTCCCAGCCTGCAACCTGCAAGTTACCTTGAGAAATTGTCATGAAATTCTTACATTGGCTTAATAATAATAGTCATCACTGCATTGCAAGTTTATTCACTTTCCTAGGTTTACAATACATTTTGTATCCCTTTAACACCAAATTTGCATTTGTCAATTACATTAAGAGCAATTTCAATTGCAAATGTGATTAAGATGAAAACAATATCGCAGGATGTAAAATATAATAATCTCAGTTTATTACATTTTGCGATGTTATTCCATTTCGCGGTTCATTATTAACAGCGCTCGATCCATGATCAGAAGGTCGTGTGTTCTAATCACCTAAGTCGATAAAAATTTGTAGCAATTATTCCTTCGCCAAATTTACCACCACTCGGCACTTTTTAACTAAAAGTTGCGAGTCCTTCGGAAGAGACCTTAAAAACGAGGCAGTCATAATCTTTTGAATCAAGGAACTCCACTACCTATATATATAGCAAAGAGCTTTTTTGTGTATGCGTACTTCCATAAAAAAACAAAAAAAAAAACAACAATTTTTACTAAAAAAACATTGATATCACGTATACTTTTGGAAACCCCTACGATTTGCATCAAATAGGGGGAAGTTCCCAGTTCATTTCCAAAATAAAGACATATTTGCTACAATTCAATTCGATCGATATCCTCACAATGTCAGTGGGTCTGAGTTCATTCAATAATAGAATTGTCATAATGTCTAAGAAATTTTAAGCATATCCAACCTCTCATTAACTTCTCATGTTATAAGATGTACTTCAACACAGGTTTCCACAGTCTTTTATGAACGTCGAAAAGTTTATTACAACTTCAGTTTGCAACGGTCACCCAATAACTTCCTACTTTATGGTTACACACATAATAAGGCACTTATTTATTAGGTGTCTCGTGGCGATATACATCTCGATCAATGCCTAAAACAATCTTGCATCAAGTGTCGAGATAAATTTTTAACTAAAACTGCTCAGGTGGAAAGAAAACACAATTAATGGCAGTGGATCTTCGTTGTGTGCACATTTACACATATGTTAACAGTTAGAAAGACAAAAATAGCACAGCATTTTGTAAACATACCTTGCTTCATCTATTTCCCCTTCATTACTCCGTCGATCCGCAGTCTCCGAGTATTTTTTTCAGTCTGTACAATAACGGCTGCTTTTCCTGCTCATAAAAAAATATAACTAAATGATGTAAGTGAAATGATTCACTTGTAAGTAAAACCGAAGAGATTTCCAAAAGACCATTTTTACTGTAAACCTTTCTGCACCCCTTAATATTGAAACTTCCAACTAACAGCGAGTCTGATGGAGGTCATTGATACAGAGATCACGCTGACCAGCAGATGCGCTGTTCTCCTAAGTTTATACTGTAGAGCACTGGGCCTGGTTTCGCAAAGCACTCTGAATCCCGAGTAATTTGATCAAATATTCAATATCAATGAACCATGCCATGGAAGGGCAATTTCCATTCTAAATAACCGACAGAAGAAAAAAATAACTCAGAGGGCTTATGTCCATGTCTGACTGAGATCTGATCATGATGGTGATTCCGTTTTGATAAGACACTTTCACTTTTATTTCCTGAACATGCTTATGCTAAGGAATGCATGATGTGTGTATGTGCAGCTAAGTGTGTATGTGCAATTACTCTTAGTAATAGTATCTGATAAGTATAAATAAGCAGATAATTAGCAATTCGTTGTGTTTTATATTTCTTAATGTCGTTTTTTGCCACGTCAAATAATGGCGATTATAAACAATGTTACAGGGTTATACAATGTAACAGAGTGAGCATAAGGAATAGACAGCAAGAACACGGAACATATACTATAAACATAATTATGCTTGAGAAACTCTTAGGAGTTGCAAAAAAATACATTAATATTATACTCTTAACGAAGGCTTCACAAATATACTTACATTGAAAATTACATTTTCAACGCTTAGAAGTATCACTTCCAAACATAGCGTCTTCAAGTATAACAATCCAATAAATAAGGGCATGCTTAAACACATAATAGTGAATAGAATAGATTTGTAGCTCGATGATCTGGGAAAATGGGATGGACGACCGGAATATATGCTCAGGAGCCACCCACTGATTTGCATTGAAAGAAATGTGTATTTATTTAGAGCGCGCGTTTTTCGATTTCTCGTAATTTTTTAAGGATGCCTTCACAAAAATATACATATACTTACGGTATGTTTCTTAAACACATAAGATTGCGGGGCAATAAGAAAACCATATATCCTTCTGTATTCAATAATCTGGCCAGAAGTAAAAACAAGAGGCCCATGGGCCACGTCGCTCACCTGAGCATTGTGGCTAGGAAAAAGTAGAAATTGGTTTATTATTTAAAAGTTTAAATCCAAAAGTAGTCTCATAACCAACCATGGCTTTGCTATTCTTGAAAGATGATTTTTAAAGAATTTATTTTCCTAAATATGTCTATGTAAAACTTTGGTCGGCCATTGTAGCCCCGCCCTACCCCCGGGGGTCATGATTTGAACAAACTTGAATCTACACTACCTGAGGATGCTTCCATATAAATATGACCAATTACGGCTTCGCTATTCTTGAGAAGAAGATTTTTCAAGAATTTTTCTATCTATTTCTATGTAAAACTTTGGTCGGCCATTGTGGCCTCGCCCTACCCCCGTGGGTCATGATTTCTACACTACCTGAAAATGCTACCATATAAATATGATCAATTCTGGCTTCGCTATTCTTGAGATGAAGATTTTTAAAGAATTTTCCTATATATTTCTATGTAAAACTTTGGTCGGCCATTGTGGCCCCGCCCTACTCCTTGGGGTCATGATTTAAACAAACTTGAATCTACACTACCTGAGGATGTTTCCCCATAAGTTTCATTTTTCCTGGCACAGCGGTTCTTGAGAAGAAGATTTTTAAAACATACCACCAAATTTTCATTAATTCCCAATTATCTCCCCTTGAATGAGGGCGTGGCCCTTCATTTGAACAAACTCGAATCCCCTTCACCAAGGATGCTTTGTGGCAAGTTTGGTTGAAATTGGCCCAGCGGTTCTTGAGAAGAACCTTCGGCTCAAGTGAGCTAAAAATAGATTACATGATAAGAACTTACCATATCTTTATTGGATCCCGAAACTTAAAATCCTTACAAACAAAGATACATAGCGGGTTCCAGTAAATGTTCAACCAAGCCTCTTTCTTGACTCCTAACTTAGATATTAAGAGTAGTGAAGGAGAAACTTCATGTGTAGTGTCCAACACTATACATATATTCGAGACGTGGTGTAAATCAGATGTGGATATTTAAAGATTCAAATGAACTTTTGGAAAATTTGAAATCACTAAATGTTACCAAAATCAACAGCTTTTAAACATTTACGACTTTTCAAGTTTTAACTTTATACATAACCATTCCCCACGAATGCCACAATAAAATAAAGTCCAGGCTTTTTTTATATCATTGACAACTGCTTTTTCAATAAAAATGGAGTTCGTAAATTCACTTACCTTTACATTGATCATTTGCAAAATCATTTTGTTAAAAAACATTCTGATCGTACACACAAATACTAGTATTCTGAAGTTGACACCAAAAAAGACGCTTGAGTTTCTGATTGACAATATCTATCTTGTTTTGGGGAGACCAGGTCTTCCAACAATCTATTGGAATTCCCATGGGTACCAACTGCGCCGTGTTATAAGCAGACATTTTAGTCTTCATACGAAGCAGAACTTGTCCAAAACTTTATACGTGAAAAGAAGAAAATACTTGCTGTGGCCTTCTACTCGACATTTGGATATATCGATGAAATATTGTTAATTACCATGGTAATTTCGTTTCTTATGTCGATACTATATGTGCTAGTGAGCTTGAAATAAAAGATACCACAGAGTCAGACACATCTGCTTTATATTTGGGTATTTTACTTGAAAAAGACGTTAATGGTAATCTAACAACCAAGGTCCTGCTTAAGTACCAATTAGAATCTGAATTATCTGAATGCTCATACCCGGCAGGCCTCTCACCTTTCAGTTCCAGGTCATGGCACGGCACCAAATGTAACGAGAGAGGAGATAAATGCAGCGGACCAGACCGAGATTCGAACTTGGACCCCCGAAACTCCTGTCAGGTGCTCTTCCAACTGAGCTATCCAGCCACCGGCGATCGAACCCGGCTGACCGCCACACTATATATAACTATTCATTATCAATTATCTGATGAGAAATTATAATGAAATTGGAACAAAAAGCAAGTTTTTAAAGCACTTTACTCATGATTTTATACACGTTGTCATTTAAGAATTATTTATTTTTACTGATCTAATAAAAAATAGGCCTAACGTCTCATTTTCTAACACAAACAAAAATAGATCGACCGCTGCACTGCGGTCGATAATAAATTTGTTACACATTCCTCTCCCATTTCTTATATCCATTTAATAATGGAATAATAACAAAAACAAAACAAAACAAAACAAACAAAAACAAATAGTCAAGTAAAATAATACGACCCATATTAGGACATAATTTTCTAACCTTAGTTAAATATCCATCCTGTATTAAATACTCTGACACTAGTTCAGAGCAGTCTAGAAAAGGATTTACCAGGAGAAATTTTCAAAAATATAATTACCAAAGCATTAACTGATTAATGAAGAATGCATTGAGGTCCTTGGGAACAAGCAAACTTTTGGAAATAAAAAATTAAGTACTATAAATATCAATCAGAAGTC